CCCCATCACACCCCACCCCATCCGTCTCGGAACCAAAACAATAAAAATCTGAGTCACTTAATGTATAATGATGTATGTCTTTAACTCTGTGTCGACCTAGCGGACATATACGACCGATCAGCAACAAACCAAAGACAATCATGCTGCATCTTTCGAACTATTATACACAAACCAGAGACACGAATTTGCATTTTGATAGCATGTATAATATTGTTGTCCGCCTATTAAAGCTTCAAATATAACTGAACTATCTGTATAATTAAGAAAGTTTTGCCTTTTTTAAAAGAACCCCAAAGCAACCCATCTTCATACACGCAAAATGCGCGTTCGCAGTAGGTTAACTCTGCGCTACTTGATGTTTTCGTAACATGTAGCATTATTAAAAGCGCATTGTTACTTTGGTTAATTTGAAGTTGCTGTTGAATAGAATTACAGCTGTTTAAATGAACTCTTTAGAAAACTTTTAGTAAAACAAGGCAAAGACAAAGAGACGACACCATACCTCCAGCTCTCTCTCCATCTATCTCTCTAAAATTCACCCTCTCTCTATCCCTTTCTTACTTCTCTCTCTCCTCTCTCTCTCTCTCTCTCTCTCTCTCTCTCTCTCTCTCTCTCTCTCTCTCTCTCTCTCTCCCCCCTCTCTCTCTCTCTGCTTCTCTAATGTGTTGCACCCACGTTCGTATTCACAAGGTCATATTACTTTATCAATATTTTATCATATGTGGGCGTACGGGCCGAGAATAGCCTTTAAAATCAATTTTTAAAATGCATGGAATCAGAACTCTAAAGGCAGCATTCTATTTGAGGCTGTCCTTAGAAAGCACACAGTGGCACCACCTAGACACCCTGAAGATGTCTCTGAAGGACTTTAACATGGAAGGGTTTATACGCTTCTGACAGATGTAGTTGAAAAGCAGCAATCACAGACCGTAGAAATAAATTATAACTTAATTATAATTATGATAAAACTTAATAGATAATGAATTGATAAGATAATAAATAGCACTTGTATAGCGCAATCCCCGCTCTACAGCAATCTATATGCCTTTTACACACTATATTATTTCCCTAGCAGATTATAGAGCATCCAGAGATATTCTCAGCTTCCCGGGAAGCATACAGTGCAAGCAGCTGATTAAGCCCTCAAACACTAACAAACTGAGAAAATATTTCGCTGTCTATAGCTGGGTACCTATTATCACATGGGTGATGTGAGGAAAATTTGTGTAAAGTGTCTTTCCCAAGGACACAACTTCGAGTCCCAGACGGGATTCGAACCCACGACCTTACGGTTACGAGTCCAAGAGCCTAACCACTAGGTCCAGTAAAGCATACTTTTTCATGGGAGACGAAAAACTGTTTCATTCTTTCAACACTTGCACCTACATTATAAATATTTCCCTTATTTTTTTTCTATCAACATTTCGAATTTGAATTTCAACAAAACATTCATTGAACATATTAATCATTATGAAACCAATACCACAGATTAAACATCTGATATTTTAAACGCTTTTTTAAAGATTGGTGCTGATAACATTTGAACAGCAGACCAATAATATTATGAGGCTTCATGAATCAGCAATGCTGAAGCGAAGAGAGAAAACCTCAAGCTGTACACATCTTCAACTGGACACAACTATCAATCATAGACATAACGATCATAGCAGAAGCCAAACATCACCTTAATCTATATTGAATAATAGTAATAACATCATATGGCATTTATATAGCTCTCAACCCGATTATAATATCAGCCTATGAGCACTTTACAGTAAAACGATAACGTTAACCAACAGAACATCTCTCAAAATATTCATCTTACCAATTTAAAAACAGAACTGACTATTACTATCATTTCATGGTCTTCTGTGTACGAAAACAAATCGCCTAACCGCTAAACCGCAAACGCTGGTACTAATGAATAGAATGTGTAGGGTCGCCGAAAGTAAAAACACTGAGAATTAAGCAAATGTGTCATTGCTGGGGAATCATGCATAGAACTCCTGGAGCTCAACATTACAAAATGCAATACCTTATCCCAGCCCCCCTTGCTCCTTCTGTTCGAAGAAAAAAATGAATTCCAATTGAGACATCTTATCTAAAGTCGCTCTCAAGTCCCTGAAAATCTATTTAAATATATATAAAAAAATATGATTTACTTCAACCAAGATGTTATGCCTGTTATTGTCATTACGTATATTTATTATCGGGATGAGGAATGGATACAAGAAGCTAAACGTGAACAGACAGGGCTTTAAAGACTACAGTAGTATAACAATGTTATTATATTCTCCTATTATACGAGGGAATAACAATTTAAAAAACAAAAACTGCAACACAAAATGACGTCCAAATTTCAATCCTCAGACACGCGCAACTTACAGTAGCCACCTTGCTCAACAAAGGTGATGTACATGGAGTGCTGCATAGGATTTTCCAAAATATGCAAAAAGAAAAAGAAAGCAAGGGGAACGTATACGCCCGAGAATCTTGAGAAAGACTTAGTCGAGAGGATTTCTGCAGTCTCAATACAACAACCAAAAATTCATAAAGTAACACATTATAATGTTTGAGTCCGATTAGTAGGCCTATTGGATTTTACCAACCCACCCCACATCTCCCCAGCAAATTTTGTAGTAAGTCAGAAATTTACCCATATAAAACGGAGTAAATAAAAAAAAAAAGAAAACAACCCACCTCCCCCCCCCCAGAAATTTACTCCGTTTTATATGGGTATCTACTAAGAAGGGGCCAATCTTGGAGTCATGTTCTTCCCGTGTTATGCGCGAGTTCGTATTATAGGCTTGTGCTTTGCAAAACAATTTGCTATGAGAAAACTGCATTGCGTTACCACACCCCCTCCAAAAAAGCAAATAAACGAAACGAAAAAAAATGATATCAATCAAAAAAGTAGTCTTGGTTATTAGCGGATTCACCTGACTGATTGACTGACAGATTGACTAACTGACTGACTCACTCACTCACTCACTCTATCGCCCACTCACTCACTCACTCACTCACCCACCATTTCACTTTCACATTTACTTACTCTTTCATTCAATCATTCACTCACTCATCCACTCACTTACTCACTCACTTACTCACACTCACCCACTCTCTCGTTCGGGGATATATATATAT